CAAGACCAAGTGCAAGGTCCTGCACATGGGTCGGGGCAATCTCAAGCTGGATCCAAAATGGATTGGGAGCAGCCCTGCAGAGAAGGACTTGGGGGTGCTGGTGGATGAGAAGTGTGCAGTGACCCAGCCATGTGTGCTGGCAGCTGGCCTGGCTGTGCCATTCCAGGGCTCCCCTGGGAAGCCTGGTGAGCCTTTCCATGGCCCCTCATTTTGGGAAAGCTCTGGGTGGTGGCACAGCTTTCCCTGTTCCTTCAGGAGCGGGGCTGGCTGTCAGCACTGCAGCCTGGACTCAGGTACAGACTGTTTAACTCCAGCCCCTCGCAGGCATCCTCTGGGGCTGTCTGCAGCTCCACTCTGAAGAGGTTTTAAGACTGTGCTTTGTTTTAAGACTTTTGATCTCCCCTGGAAGCTCAGACTTCATCAGCCTCCTCAACTTCTGAAATTTATTGGGATTTGGTTCCAGCTGTGTAAGGCCACCGGTTGCTTTTTGGTCTGGATTTCTGCACGGGGAGCCAGCTGATGGGTCATCCTTTGGGACATCAGGGTATTTGGGATTATTTTTAGCCTGTCATTGGCAGTGATCTGCACTTGGAGCTGCGGAGTGTCAGGGGCTTTTCTCTTTTGTGCTCTCGAGAAGCTTTCCTTTCCCTTTCACCTGGATGCAGCTGTGTTTCCCTGCGCAGAGCATGGAGGGAAACCAGCTCCAAGGAGCCATCCCGAGGGTTTGTGGGGATCAGGAGCAGCGCTGGCCCAGCCAGGGCTGCCCCAGGACACCCGGGCTCTGTTCTGAGAAGCACCACGGACCTGCTCCCTGACCTTCCCCAGCCACTTCCCTGCTCCAGCCGCTATTTTTTCCTCTCCTCCTTCCCCTCTTTTGTCTCGCCCCGTTTAGCTGTAACCTCCTTCAGGCAGGAACATGGTGTGTGTACAAAGGGCCCAGAACAATGTGCCCCAGATGGTTTGTACAAGTCCCTCCTCGGCAGCCACGAGGTTTCACTCCTCGGGAAAGGAGTCTTTAAAAATACAGGTTTTCAGCGTTTTAGACTCGCAGATTTGGGCAGGAACTTCCCGAGCCTTGATATTTTGGTCCAAGTCACTGGTCTGAGACAAGGGGTAGCACTAGAATTGCAGCCTTTTCTTCTTTTAAGAAAAAAAAACCAACCAACAACTCCTCCCAGCCCCCAATCCATTTTTCTCACCTTCCTGTCTGCGGGGGAAAAGCTTGTAAATGTGACTGGAGCAGCCCTGAACTGCTCAAAACCAGATGGCAAAGAAAAAGAACACAATATTTCAACAAAAACCCCCTCTTTGGGTTCCGAAGGGGGGGTGGGGTTTCCCCCTTTATGGCACTTGCAGTGTTTCTGAGGTTCTGTTTCGGGGGGTGCTGAAGCCACTTGCACTTGCATGCAGTTTGTTTCCCTTGCAGGATCCTGGCTCAGAGCACTGGCCCTGCAAACACCCCAGGGCAGTGCTTATTTGCTTTGAGACCACAGCTTGCTTTGGAATTTCTTCTGCCAAACTTCAGGCCAATTCAGGGTTTGTTTTTTTTTTTTCCTTATTCGTCCCCCTCCCTTCCAAAGAGAGAAGCAAGTTTTCTTAGTCTCATCTTGCATCAGATTTGATCCCAGGCCAAAAAATCCAGTGTAGAAGGTGCTTTCCTGAGGCTGCTTCGCCTCGGTCTGACCTTCTGCGTGAGGATTCCTGTGCAGAATGGAATGATGTGACATTGGTGTTATCTGGGGCATCTTCCCCGGGGGGGGAGGACGGGGCAGGTCTGGGTCCCCGGTGCTCATCCAGAGGCTGCTGTGTTTTAGCAAACACAGGTTTTGTTTGCTCCAGAGCTCTTGGGAGTCCTGGGATTTTCCCAAAAGTTCCTGTTTCTAATTAAGCTGCTCTCAGTTTTAAAGGCCAGAGATCCCTTTATGGCACGGGGTGGAAAGCCTGAGCAGTCACTGACACCGCACAGAGGTGGGTCCTGCTTTTGTCCCGAGGTCCGGGCAGCCACTGTGTCTCCTTGGGATGTTAAAATAGATTCCTCCCAGCCCGTGGCTCATCCGTGGGGAGGCTGGTGGGCTGAGGGTGAGGGAGCATCACTTGCCGGGGACTGACTCACTCGGATGCGGTTCGGTGACTTCCTGCCGCTCTCCCCGCTGGATTTGGGGAGGGGGGGATTGCAGGGTGGGGGTCGGCTGTGGCCTTGCTGGATGTTAACCTGGCCCAGCTGCCTCAAGCTGGGCTTTGGAGCCAGGAGGGCTGTTCCCAGGGCCGGGCTCGCTCTGAGCAGGAGCAGAGTGGTTCGTGTGGGCCGGGGGAGGACAGCACAGCCCCCAGAGCTGCAGCAAGCAGGGCCGAACTCTGCCCTTCTGTCTCACCCCATTGTCTGACATTCCCCCGCAGAGGCCGGCCCGGAACTCTTCAAAGGAAATAATCCCAGCGCCGGGGCTGGAGCTCCCGGGGCTCTGCCTGTGCAAACAGTCTGGGCCTGGAATCCCCCAGGGCTGAACTCAGGGGTCGGATCCAAACCCCGAACTCCGGGCTCTGCATCCCCGGCTGCCTCCCCCTCCCGTGGGGAGAGGGTGCCCCCGGGATGCCGGGGCAGAGCCG